CGTCTGCCTTCCGCTCAGGTCGTGGTCTCAGGGTCCTGGGATCGAGCCCCGCATCCGGCTCCCTGCTCTGCGGGAAGCCCGCTTCTCCCTCTCCCACTCCCCCCTGCTTGTGTTCCCTCTCTTGCTGTGTCTCTCTCTGTCGAATAAATAAATAAAATCTTTAAAAAAAAAAAAACGGACACGATAAAACTTACTTTCTCATACATCTTTAGGTGTCCAGTTAGGTGGCATTGCAAGGGTCACACTCTTGGGTCATGGTCCCCACCATCCACCTCTAAAACTTCTTCATCTTGCAAACCAGAAACTCTGTGCCCATCAACCGCTAACTCCCCATTCGGCCTCCCTCCAGCCCCTGGCACCATCATTCCACATTCTGTCTGTAGGAATTGCACTATTCCAGGTCGCTTATAGAGGGGGGCTCCTACAAGGTTTTCCCTTTCCTGACTGGCTTTTTGAACTTAGCATTATGTTCTCAAGGTGCTTTCATGTTGTAGCATGAGACAGGATGTTCTCCCCTTTTTTCCCATTGTATCGCTAGACACGCTGTGTTTGTCCATTCATCTGTTGATACTCATTTGAGTGATTTCCTCTTCTTGGCTAATGGGAATGGTGCAGCTATGAACGTGGGAATACGGATACATTTCTGAGACCGTTCTTTCCATTTCTGTGGTTATATACCCAGAAGTGGGCTTGTTGGATTATATGGTAGCTCTGTTTTCAGTCTCTTGAGGAGCCAGCATAATGTTTTCCAGAGCGGCTGCACCATATTATTTTTTCTCTAACTGCCCACAGGTGTTCCAATTTCTCCACGTTTTCACCAACACTTAATTATTTTCTGTGGTTTTTTTGGTTGTTGTTAGTAGCCATTCTAAGATGTGTGAAGCGATAACTCATTGTAGTTTTGATTTGCATTTCTCTAATGATAAATGATGTGGAGCATCAGCCCATATGCTTTTGGCTATTTCTGTATTTTCTTTGGAGATATATATTTTTAAGTCTTTTGCCCATTTTTTAAAACAGGGTTAATTTTTGGTTGTTGTTAAGTTCTAGGAGTTCTTTATATTTTCTGGATAAACCCCTTATCAGATACATGGTGTACAAATTTTTTTTTTTCCTATTTCATAGGTTACCTTTTCACCCTCTTGATTGTGTCCTTGGATGTGCAGAATTTTTTAGGTTTGATGCAGTCCCATTTGTCTATGTTTGCTCTCCTTGCCTGTGCTTTTGCTGTCCTATCCAAGACATCATTCTATAATCCATTTTCATAAAGCTTTCCCCCTGTTTTCATCTAGGAATGTTACAGTTTTAGGTGTTTAATTAATTTCAAGTTCATCTTTGTATGTACTATAAGGGCTGAACATCATTCTTTTGCCTGTGGATACCCACTATTCCCAATTTGGTGGGAATTTGTTGAAGAGGCTGTCCTTTCCCTGTCGAGTGGTCTTGGCATCTTGTTGAAGGTCATTCAGCCATATATGTGAGGGTTCATTTCTGTGCTTTCTGTTCTGTTGGTCTTCATAACAGTACCACATTGCTTTGATTCCTATAGCTTTATAACGTATTTCCAAATCAAGGAGTTCAAGACCTCCAACTTTTACTCCTTTTCGGTATTTTTATGGCTGTTCAGAGTCCCTTGAGGGTCTGTGTAAATTTTAGGATGAATTTCTGTATTTATGCAAAAAAAATGTCCTTGAGATATTGGATCTGCATATCGCTTTGGGTAGTGTGGACGTTTTAACAGTATCAGATTTTCCAGCTCATGAACATGGGGATGTTTTCCATTTACTTGTGTCTTCTTCTTAAATTTTTTTCAGCAATGATTTGTAGCTTCAGTGTACAAGCGTTTCACCGTCTTAGAAGTGTATTCCTTTTTGATGTATTATAAATGGAATTGTTTTAACTTTCTTTTCAGATTGTTCATTGTCAGTATATAGAAATGCAACTGATTTTTCCATGTTGATTTTTGTATCCTGGGATGTTGCTGAATTTGTTTATCAGTTCTAACAGTTTTTGTGTGTTTGAAACCTTTAGGGTTTTTTACATATAAGATCATGTCATCTGCGAACAGGAATCACTTCACTTCTTCCTTTATGACTTGGATGCCTCTTATTTCTCTTTCTTGCCTGATTGCTTTGTCTAGGTCTTCTAGTACTGTGCGTAGAACTGTTAATCTTGTTCCTGATCTCAGAGGAAACACTTTCAACCTTTTTCTCTTAGGTATGATGTTAGCTGTGGGCTTTTCATATATGACCTTTGTTATATTGACACAGTTTTATTCTACCTATTTTTCTTTTTCCCAGTTTGAGTGTTGGTATCATGAAAAGGTATTGAGTTTTGTCAATTGCTTTTTCCATGTCAGTTGATAGAGTTTTTGTCCTTCATTTTATTAATGATTATCAATGATTTTTGTGTGTTGTGAACCATCTGTGCATTCCATAAATGACTTCCACTTGGTCATGGTGTATAATCCTTGTGCTGTTGAAATCAGTATGCTTGTATTTTATTGAGTATTTCTGCATCAGTATTCATTATAGATATCAATTTCCTTGTGGTGTTTTTGTCTGGTTTTCATATGAGGGTAATGTTGGTCTCATAGAATGAGCGTACGTACCCTCCTCTTCAAAGTTTTGGAAGAGTTTGAGGAGTATTGGTGTTCATTCCTCTTTGTTTGGTAGGCTTCATCACTGATGGCTTTTTCTTTGTTGGGAGGTTTCTGATTCCTGAATACATATCCTTAGTATTTTATATCTGATCAGGCTTTCTGTTTCTTAATGTGATCTTGATACAAGGGTATATGTTTCTAGCAATTTATCCATTGCTTGGTTACCCAGTTTGTTGGCATATACTTTTTTTTTTTTTAATTTTTTTTTTTTTTAAGATTTTATTATTTATCTGAGAGAGAGAGGGATAGAGCACAAGCAGGGGGAGCAGCAGAGAGGGAGAAGCAGACTCCCCGCCGAGCAGGGAGCCTGACGTGGGGCTCGATCCCAGGACCCTGGGGTCATGACCTGAGCTGTAGGCAGACGCCTAACCGACTGAGCCACCCAGCGGTCCCCATGCATATGTCTTTTTGAATTACTGTTTTTGTTTTCTCCAGATCAATACCCAGAAATGGAATTGCTGTACTTTATAGTAGCTCTTTTCTTAACTTTTTGAGGACCTTCCATAGTGTTTTCCAGAGTGTCTGCACCAGTTTGCATTCCCACCAACGGTGCGCGAGGGTTCCTCTTCCTCCGCATCCTGAGCACAGTTGTTCTACTTGTGTTTTCGATACAGCCAGTCTGACTGGTGGGAGGTGGTATCTCGTTACGGTTTGGGACCCTTTGCCTGTGGGACCCGACACTGTGCACATTGTCAGAAGTGAGCTGGATTGTCGGGTACCTGGCTGGTGTCATGGACTTGCTTGGTGTGGAAAGCCCCCCTGCCCCCCCCCACACACACAGCGGGCGTCAGGAGGGCACTGTTGTCCGAATGCCCTGCGACGTTTCCAGCATTTCCATAGCTCTGTGTGCACGTGACCCACACTGCGTGACACGTGGTCATGTGGCGGGGACCCTGCGTTAGCATAGCTCGCACCCCTAAATGTCACCGTATCTTTCTTTCTGCAGATACCGAACGGCTCTACTCACTGGTGTTCCAAGAAATATGCGACTGCTATGGAAAGAAATACAGCTGGGACGTCAAGTCCCTCGTTATGGGAAAAAAGGCATTGGAAGCAGCACAGATCATAATAGACGTCCTGCAGCTGCCGATGTCCAAAGAGGAGCTGGTGGAGGAAAGCCAGACGAAGTTGAAAGAAGTGTTCCCCAAGGCTGGTCTGATGCCAGGTACCGTGCCCTCCCAGCGGACGGGATTCCGTTCATGCGCCTCACTGTACTGTTGTGAGTCACGGTTAACGACCAGTGCCCAGCTGGCTCTGTGTCTTCTTCTGTCTTCATGCGTCCTCAGAAAAATCTCATCTCGGGTGAGGCTCACAGATACTCCAGAGAGAGTGTGGTTAATCCTCTGCTGTCGTTCCATCTTGTCGTTTTTAAGGGCTTCTAAAAATAATATGCGTTCCTTTCACTGAGTCCCAAGGTGCAAAGACATTTGAACGGTGTTTGCTTCAACATTACATAAACATTATCTTCATGACGGGACTGCTTCCAAGTCTGAGGTGGCTTTCCCTTTTCCTGTTCAAAATCAGGTACAGGATGATCTTGGCGACTATTTAAACTTCAACAAACAGATGACGAGCAAGCGCTAAATCTCGCCAAAGAAGCTTAATTTTTTTCTTTTTTTGAAGTTATGGCATAATTCATTTTCAACATGTCTGTATGCCCTTCACGCCTTTCTTTACTTGTTTTCCTTTGAAAGCAAAGATGACTTTTCTCCCTTGGGGCTTGTTTACTTAAAGATCGATCAGAACTAAATTGTCTGCTATTTTTTGCTAAAAGTGAGAAGGTCAAGAATGTTCTAGATTGCAGGGCTGAAAGATGCTTAAAAAAGGAGGGCTATTTTAAGAATCTTCTAGGAAGAAAGGTGAATACTCCGTCTTTGGAATTCCTGGTGCGAGGGGAGAAAAAAAAATTGCAGTTACAAAGCAGTGATTTTGGATTTACAGTTGTATTAACGTGAATCATAGTCATTTTTGAGACATGTGTTTTTTAGAAATATTTATACATCCGTCCGAGAGTGCGGGTTGAGTAACGCTGGAAGTCGAGAATTTTCTGGAAAGGCCCAGCTAACGCCGTTGCCCGTGGTGTGACATAGAAACCACGCGGACTGTACTTGGGTGAGACGCATATCTGAACGTCAGGCGTGGGTCCAAGCTCTGTGATAACGCACTGTCTGCATCTGCCCCCGTTCTGCGCCCTTTGCACACAGACGTGTCCTCACAACCCTTCATGGTGCAAACACATCCGTACAGCTCACTTTTTGAGATTTTTAAATTTTATTTATTCATCTGACAGAGAACGCGCACAAACGAGGGAGGGTCAGACAGAGAGGGAGAAGCAGACTCCTCGCTGACCAGGGAGTCCAACCCAACACCCGGCTCGATCTCAGGACCCTGGGACCATGACCCCGTACAGCTAATTTTTTAAATCACGGTTAAAAACAGACACAATCGGGGCACCTGGGTGGCTCAGTCGTTAAGCGTCTGCCTTCCGCTCAGGTCGTGGTCTCAGGGTCCTGGGATCGAGCCCCGCATCCGGCTCCCTGCTCTGCGGGAAGCCCGCTTCTCCCTCTCCC